TTATTCAATTGAATAATCTAATCGACTTTAATTCCTCTGTAACACTGCGTACTACGTCTGAAGAAGAATGCGAGAAAGAGAGATATCATCATACCTGTTTGAGAAATTGATTCTTAGCTTCAACTATGGGTTCATGTAGCCATCTGTAGTGAAAGAGATATTGAGGACGTTTTAATACATATATTTTGGTAGTAGCAGTAGTTTCAATGTGCTACATCGTGTTAGTTTAAAAAAGAAGAATAGGTACCCTTGCTATCCTGTGACTGTTTAACGCCGCAACTTTGCTGTATGTGGGAAGGGGGTGAGAAGTTAGGGTGGGGGTGGAGTCGGGGTAGATCGTGGCGCGATTCCGTCAGTTTGCGCCCGACAGTCGCGCAGGGTGTACGTTCTGCTTTCGGCTCCGAGGGTGGATTCCACGTTCCGGGGTCTAGCAAGGTTTCGTGGCTGTAAGTACAAGGAACTTTACTATTTGTGTCGTCGCTCGTTTTGAGATGAAATTTAGTGCATCTTTTTAAAACACATATGAATGGCTAATTAATTTAGAATAATCCTTTAGTACTATTTGCATATTTTTTTTACTTCTATAGCACATCAAAACGTATATAAATAATAATGAATAAATTTGTGTATTGCGTAATTTAAAAAAGATAAGCACGCTATTTTAGTTTGTTTATAAAATAGGTTAATATTAAACAAGTAAATATATATATATATATTATTTTACTGAAATAAAGTATAAAGTTTTTATTGGATATAATGTAGCCGCGTAAACTTTTGTTTAAATTTGTTGGACAAACATACATTCTGGCTTATCGAACCTTTCTTAAATTTGGGCATGGTTTGTGGTGAAAAGTGGCCTACACTACCACCACATTTGGTTACAAACTAACCGTATGGTTGAGTTACATTGTACCTAAATGAGTAACCAAATTAGCATTATACATATTAATAACATATATCTGTCTCTTCACTGGTCAAAATTCTGATTTTACCAAATTTTAGACTGTGACGTAAGACCAAAACTTAACAGTAAAGTTGAAGTTATTGAACTTTCTGTGGGATGTTAGCATTAGATAATTCAGCAAGTCTGCTTGATATGTAAATGTTTAAAGGAACTACAGGGAAGTAAGATGCGAGATATGACCTTTGTACCGCTGCTTTTAAGGTTAGTATGTCCACAAAACGCATCTCTCTTCATGATGGAGTCGGTGCCTCGTGGTGCCCCAGTATTATTGAGAGAGAATCAATTTGAAGAAAAAAAACCCTCCTACTAAGGTTCACAAGATGTCGCCACTGAGCCTTTTACTAATCCAGATACATTTTAACTCCTAACACTGACATACATTTTTTTTGGTATTTTAGTCGTTTATGTTTAACCAAGATACTCATAGTACTGATCTAGTTTGGCTTTTAATTGGTGATATTTGCAGCTCAATGAGGTTATTTGTTTATATGGGAGTTCCTTATAACTTTGGTGTCTGTCTAATAATTATCTGAGGACCGAAACATATTGTGGGAGATGTGAATTTATCCGACAAGTGTAATTAGATTTGGAAGTTATAAACTGTAGAGTTTACAGTACAAATTATTACGGGCATTCAAAGTTTGCCAGAACTAAACGCGCATCTGGCAGATTTGTGTTTATGTGTATGTATGACATATGTCAGTGGTGAATGCACCGGTCTGCCAAGTAGAGTGCTGCCATACCACCAGAATTGGAGGAATAATAAAAGAAAGTTATTATTTACCATTATCAATATACCTTTGCAATTTTGTAAGACTTGGCTGCTAGGACAGGAGTCGCCAATGACGTTATTTCCTGTCCAGCTTTTATGAATTAGGCTCCTCAGTTTTTTCCAATTCAGAATTAACTTCTGAAACTGTGAATTCTCTTAGACATTTGGTTGGAGTTCTTGGATGGGGATTTGCTCGTCACAAGGCTTCTACTTGCACAGGACAACGCAACACAGAAGAACGCGAATAAATGTCCTTGCCTCGATGGCGATTCGAAATCACGATTCCAGTTTTCGGGTGGTCGAAGACCGTGGGCATCTTAGACCGCCCTGCCGCTGTCGAAATCGAACTCAGTCTGCAATGTTTACAGTTGTGTAGACGCTAAACATGATGTTACCGGTTGAGTGCTATTAAAAATATTGTGTAATTTTACAGGAGTTGGTTATTCTCAAATCTATTATTCTGCTCATGACCACATTATAAATAATGCAAAATTTTACAGGAACTACTACAACACACTCATAAGTAACAACGTATTGTTCTGCAGTCAAAATACATCTACCTTTATCTTCACAGATTACAAGAAGTTATTGTGAAGTGTAATCCTTTGGAACCTTAAATTGCACAAGAAGGAAAGATAGAGGGAGGGAGAGAGCTTGTAGTCTTTAAATAGACAGTACTGTGCCACGGTGGTCTAGCGGTTAGAACGCTGGCCTTGTAATCCTGGGGTCTCGGGTTCGATTCCCGGGGTTGCCCGAATTTATAACTTGTGTTGGGCAAGACCGTGGTCTAGGCAACACGGAGTTTTCCTCCGGGGGCTTCCCCGGTTTCTCCGTGGCATCCCAACAATTAATCCATTCACACACAGAAGAAGGCAATGGCAAACCACTTCTGGATCATCTGCCAAGAACGTATATGAACAGGTCCCCGTCCGAGAAAAGGATGGAAGGATCCTGTTCATATGGTCCTGTCGTCAGTCAGAACACTAATTAAATTATTACTATTGCAGATAGCTGAATGTGATTTTTCTTTGTTTTGTATAAACGTGTGTTCTGTTTTTGCTAGAGACTCTTAAATTGCCTAGTTTTATTTAAATTGCACCAGGTTACGGGGATAGTTTTGTCTAATTAACCAAGCTCCCAAAAAACTGTCTCTGTAGTTTACCTGGCATGTAAATGTAAACATACGTCAGGTCGCTCGTAATTTCATCGTTTCGGTACAGAACGTAGAGCGTCGATTACGTATTGACTGCAGTTAAATTTATCAGAGATGTGTCAAGGAGAAACTTGAAACTTTAAGGGACGGTAGAATAACGTTGTGTTTTTTCAGAGTTTAAAACTACTATTATGTTATGACTTGTAACCTGATTGTCATCGATCTGTTTCCTGCGGTACATAAATTCAATTTGAGAAGCAATTTTGAAGGGTCGCGTAATGTCAAGGTATAAGACGGAGTCATAACCTAATTTCGACACTGTGCAGCATGTCTCCCTCAACTAAGCGATCTGAAAATCTCATTTCCTAAGGCGAATGACCACATCTCAACTACATGTCTTTTTTATCCATCCAAACTGAACGAAGATGGATAAATGTTT